GATAAGACACACTTCTGTTTGACTGTCAGCGAAGTTGTTCTGGTCGTGATGACAGGACAAGACATACTACAGAGAATGAGAAGTCAGGGACAGTGCGTGTAACTGAGCAGCCTGCCAGAGGCAAGCACAGCCAGCAGTGGAGGGAACGCTGGGACCAGGGCGTGCAAACTGGGCTCAAGAAGGAAAAGCTGGAGTTGCTACGGCAAGACTTCCTGATCCAGAGCAGAACTTCAGGGACTTGGCTTTCAGAGGACGCACACTGTCGACTGTGCCTGAGCAGGCATACTGGAGGGTCTAAAACTACTCTTGTGAAGTTTATAGGGCTTAGTCTGCTCCCATTTGAAACTTAGGGGTTTCTTTCCAAAGCCAGAGTGAAGACAAGGTGACGTTCAAAGATGACCTGACTACAGACACTGAACTGACCAATAATAGCCAGGGACCCAAGAACGCCTGATCCTAAATTTCCAGGTATACCATCCCTCACTGTTACACACACGTAGAGCACGTTCAGGAGCCCAAAGGATGTGTTTTATATTTCCAGTAAGACACTGCTTTACAACCTAACAACAACCTCCTTAAAATAATTATGTAACTCTTAAATTACCACAGTTAACTAAACCGAGGAACTTATTTTCCATTTGAAATGGTACATACATTGTCACCATCAAGATGTAATATAGGTGCTATAATCAAGTTTTTTTTATATCATTCAAATCTCTTATATGACCACAGGTATAAAGTATGATTACATAGAAAGTGTTTTAAAAACACAGAAAATGTAGCTGTATTAGAGGGCTGCAGAGATGGCTCCACCGTTAAGAGCACTGGCTACTCTTCTAGAGAATCCTAATTCTCAGCACCCACATAGTGGTTCACAGCCATCCGTAACGCCAGTTCCAGAGGATCTGACACCCTCTTCTGGTCTCCATAGGCACCAGGCTCGAAAGTGGTACACAGACCATACATGCAGATAGAACACCATACACACTAATCATTTTGGAAATGCAGCTGTATTTGTGTGAACAAATGTACAAATCTCATTAGTCTTATTGGGTAAATTTAGTGTGGTTCACATTTTAAGTAAAAACAGTGAAGATTTTTTTCAAAATTCATTAGGACTTTTAAAAAAAGATTTTTCTTTTTATGCATCTGAGTGTTTTGCCTGCATGTATGCCAGTGAACGACATGCAGGAAGTACCTGAGAAGGCCAGCAGATGGCACTGGATCCCCTGAAGCTGGAATTACAGATGGCTGTAAACTGCCAAGTAGGTGCTGAGCACCAAACCGAGGTCCTTTGGCAGGATCAGCTGTGCTCTGACCCCTGAGCCATCTCCAGTCCAGTTAGGACATTTTTATTTCCTTGTTTAGTAGTCTAAATTTAAGCAAGTTGTTATGTTTGAATGTAAGTATCTAAGTTATCTATTGAAGGCTGTTGTTCCAGATATACTTAATGCTTAGTTTTATTGGAGTTATTTGATATAGCTATAATTATTTATACTACACTTAAAAATCTTTACTGACAGTTTCCTGAGTTTTCAGGTATTTCCTGTGGAACTATATACAAAGTGATTTTGAATAATCATCAACAAATGCCTTTAATCTACATGGTCATAGATTGACACAGGTGACATTTAAATACTAAAAATTTAACATTCATATTTCCCAGAAATAAAAACCTCAAACACTTATGACTTCTACAATAGCGGAAGATCATCTTGGGTAGCAAATGTGATGGCAATTCCTAGGAAATTCAAGATCGGAGAATGAGTGTATCAATCATTAGAATAAAAGAGGAGCAGTTCCTATAAAAAACTTCACTAATTTTAATTTTCATTGCTAAACATGAAATCTGGTACACAAAGCTGACTTATAAAGCCATGATGATTTAAGCTAAAAACAGTTAAATTCCTCTTGATAATTAATCTTCTAACTTTTCACCCTTAGAAAACTCCCTACATTTATCCAGTATAATTCCAAGTCAAGAGAAATGAATAACTGCTAGCATTATTATATTCATATGGACTTCCAAATAAATTTCCTAGTTCAAAAAAATTTAGTAATGTCTTTTCTAATACAAAATTTTCTTGAAAAAGTTTTCTTAACAAAGACATTTAAATAACACCCACAAAAATAACCTCTAGGCTTTTCCCAAAATAATTATCTCTATGTTGTAGTTAAGAATACAGACAGGAACTACCCTCTGTCAGGTCCTCTCCCCAGCACAGTAGGAGGCATATTGCTTACACTTCAGTCCTGAAGTAGCATATGAGTAGAAAATCAAATATTAAATAAAAAAGCTACTGCTCCACAATAAAGCTGTAGAATCTCCAACCTTCCTGCTCCCACTGTGTTGAAATACCCGGAGCACGATGGCTACAGAGGCTACTGCTCGTTCGCACTGCAGAAACAGCTAACACTTGTGTGATCTGCTGCATACGCCTGCCTGCTAGCCTGCACTGATGACAACATACAGAGCTGTTTAAGGGCTCACAGGATGGTACAAGGGATCTTTGAGACTCTTGTAAAGCAGCATTCAGTCGTCCTAAGAAGTACACTATCAATACATCTTGGGAGGAATTAGATCTGTAATGTAAGACAAGAACTTAGCCTCACTGGTGTGGGAAAGGCCCATAATGACTAAGCCAGGTAGGCCCTGGCTTACCGGACTAGTCACCATGTACCATGTTCATATTTCTCCCTTTGCTATGTATAGTTTAAAGCATTTCTTGGTTGACCAGCATATTAAATGTTTTAAAATTGTTCTTCAAGACAAGTTAGAATGATTCAGCAACTAAATCTCAAATCCAAGAGCAAGGAAAATGCAGCTGATATTTTTTCCTAAAACAACCCAAATCTTCCTCAAGAAAACCCACTAAGGTAGCCAGAAAACTAGCTCACAACAAGTACATATCAATAAAGCAAATGCTATGAAAAATGAGCATCTGAAAAATAATTTAAAATAAACTGTATAACTCAAGCCTACATTTTGTGATTTTTGCTGTTATTTTTTAATAGGAACAAAGCAACCATGCTCACTAAATTTTAGCAAGTTCACAAGAAACATATTGTAAAAAGATACCATTTTCTAAGTGTCCTTGTCTGTTAATTTTTCTTTACTATTACCTGCAATAGCTTCTGCTCTACTCATTTTTACTAATACTTATCACTCACAGCTTGAATGAAACATTACATTATTCTGAAATTAATCACTGTAACATGAGCACTATTTACTATTTTATAGGCGCCCTCTGCAACTTCTTTCAAAGCTCTTTTTAGCCTCTTTGTTTAAAATTTCAGGGTATTTTTTGAGGGGTGGGTAAAATGACTTCTGGAAGGGACACCAATTAAAAGAACTAGCAAAAATAAAGAGACTAACCCTTTTTCAGCATTTGGCAATATAAGATTCTAATTGATGTTAAATAAAAATCCAGAACCTAAACCACAGACTGTTAACAGTTCACACCCTGAAACTGTGGCCTATTTACCCTGAAACACACAACCTAAAACTAAATACAGATAAAATACAGATATCACATATAATATTCAATTATTAACTCCTGAATTTTACCACACTGTCTCATCACTGTCATTCAAAACGCTGTCTTATGTTTGAGGAAAATACCCTTTACCCTTTAATCCTCTAAAAATAGATTCCTCCTGTCTTTTTTATAAGAAACAATTACGCTTGGCTATAAGCTCTACATATCAGTCATATAATCAACACCTAAAAATTTACTTAATTCCATTTTTGGCAATCAAAACAATAACTAAATATTTTTTTTTAAAAAATCTTACCTATGTGCTGCATTTCCTTTCAAATGCAAAATGGTTAGCTTCCCGTCTACTCAGTCAGTGCAGGGTCTGGACATGCCAGCCTGACTGGCAAATACCTGCTGTCCCTCTTAGGGCACAGCATCCGCGGGTTATACAGCAACTACTTACATTCTCTTCCCCACAGAAATCAGACATTACATGAAAGGAAAAGAAAGACAGCCTATTTCAAAGCGGCTGGCAAACCTCCATTGGCAACCTGCCAAGCCTCTGCTAAACCTTCCTGTCTTTCTGAGCATGCTCACTTAAAACCAACAGCACGTTACTATGGCAACTCTGTAGGCAGCCTGGAAGTATGAACCGCCATTCTGATTTCAGAGTGTAAAAAGCCAAATGCTGCAGGGGAGGTCAAAGGAAAGAACTAGCGTGCACTCTTCCTCACACGCGAATCTAGTCCTGGCATTCCAGAAGCTCACATTTGTGTGTTTAAACACAAAAGCAGTCCATAGTTTCAGGGCTGACATTTTCATGCTCAAATAGATCTTCTTTTTCAATAAACTCATGCTCTTTGTTTTGCCTCTCAACAACCAAAATTACACTAGAAAATTTACCCCACTTAACAAAACACTGATGAATAAACAGACAAACACCACGTGAGCAGCCATGGCAACTCCACAGATGATTCCTGTAACCACACTGGGAACACTGCAATATCACAAAGAAAACCACTCCTAATAAAAATACAATCTCAATCTTTTCTGTGATTTGTCAAGATGCCAGATGAATCTTTCTTTGGGAGGAATTAAGATATTTACCCCTAGAAGGTTTCCAAGTTAGGAGAAGCAAGACCTGGGTTCAAATCCCTCAGTTCCACAGTTTAGCTGTACAGCTGAAGACAATAACTTTCTGACTCTAATGGCACCCCGAAAGCAGGATGACAATTACTTCACACACTGACAGAAACACCCAACCCCTCCCCCACAAAATCTTACTGATTATCTCGGCAAAGTACTTTCTGATAACTTCACACTGAAAACTGGTACTGAGTTCTACACTACACAATGAACCAAACAGTCACACCTCCTCAATCAAATTAAGAAAGAAACGTTTCAGACAATATATATATATATAAAATCTAGACAGAGAACAAACACATGGAGATATTATTTTCACTAGAAAACAAAAACAAACAAACAAAAGGTTGCCATGCTGTCTGGAATTGGACCTACCAGTTCTTCTTCCTCCTTCTTGGCTTCTTTTTCCTTCTCCTCTTCATTCTCCTCAGTTGGGCAGTCTTCCTCATCATCACTGCTGGATGACTCAAGAATCTCACTTATGTCCATTTTCCAATTATCAGGAACGATTCTAGCTTTTAAGAAGATACTTGCTCTCTGCAGCCCTGAAAGGAAACATGGACTCCAGCTGTTACCACTGAACGAAGAACATGGACTTAAGGGAGATGCATGTCTTTCCGGGCCAGAGAGCTCAGTCCCAAACCAGTCATCATTCATAAAGTGGCGGAGGACATGTGAGTACTTCATGAGTAGAAGAGCATGTAGATTTACAACAAAGTTTGTTTATTGTGAGACAGGGTCTCACTATGTCACCATGTAGCCCAATCTAGCTTTGAACCTGTGATCCACAGGCCTCCACCTACCAAGTAAAACCACGCCTGGCAGATTAGAAGTAGCCTTTTAGAAAAAAAGATTTATATTTATTTTATGTGCACAAGCGATCTACCAGATTTATGAGCACATGAGTCCACCAGAGGCATTAAATCTACTGGAACTGTTTGCAGATGGTTGTGAACTGCCGTGTGGGTGATGGGAACCAAACCTGGGTCCTCTGCAAGAGCAGTAAGTGCTCTTAACCGCCGCGCCATCCCTCCAGTCCCACTATTAGATGCCGATGGTCAGCAGGTGTGGAAGCGCATGACTCTAGTCCCAGCCCTCAGGAGCAGAGGCAGATGGATCTCTGTGAGTTCAAGGCCTCTGGTCTACAGAGTGAGTTCCAGGACAACCAGAGCTATGTAGAAACACTTTATCCCGTACCCTTCAAAAAGAAAAAATATTGCCAGGCAGTGGTGACACACACCTCGAATTCCAGTACTTGGGAAGCAGAGGCAGGTGGCTTTCTGTGAGTTCAAGGCCAGCCTGGTCTACAGAGTGAGTTCTAGGACAGCCAAGGATACACAGAGAAATCCTGACTCAAAAACAGAAGGAGGAGGAAGGAAGAAGAGGAGGTGGAGGAGGAGGAAGAAGAAATATTAATGACCAAACACGCAAAGTTAAATTTGTAAAATTTACAAAGTATTTTATGGAGACATAATAAAAATGCCTTTAGGAGTGTGTCCAACACATTATCTGTGAGGTTCATACTCAGGAACCATGCAACCAAGCAACAAGGGAAAGGAAAAGCAAAACAACTCATTATGTTTTACCAGCCACATGTAGCCTATAGACTACAGGCTGGACACAGGATTCCAAACAGTTACTATCGTAATAGACTGGTCAGTATTGTTCCATTTGTTATTTTCCAGACAGTCATGTCACATTGACACACTGACTCAGCTTTCTTTTACCTGGTTTAGCACAGAGCTCAGATTCCGACAGATTGAGAATGTCTAGTTCCTTAATGTCCTTTCTTGCTATGGAGTAACTATGAAAAAGAACAAAATGGGGACAACTACTTATTAAATAAAAAACAAACAAACAAAAATCATTTAAACAGTACACATTAACACATTCATTAGACCTCAAAAAAAAATCAAAATTATTTTGTCCTATAGTGTTTTAGAAGTTGCAGGCCAAGAATGACCCGCTCCTTACGAACGTATTGGAAGTAATACAGACAAAGCTAGTATTTTTAAATTTCATGTACTTAAAGTACTCTTATTTGAGAGCCTCAAATTCAATGTTTTCAATTATACAACCTTCCTGTAGACAAGAGTTTCTACAAACATAGTCATTTCAATACTTACAGATAACACATATTTTGCTCAGTGTTTCCTAATTTTTGTTAATTTGTTAAAATATTTTGACTTATGTATATTATGGTATATTTTTCAAAGAGAATAACAAATATATATACTTAATTTTACTATTCTCTTTAAAGAAAAATGTGAAATTAGTAGAAAGTTTCTAAAAATCTGTTTTTCAAAATAAAAAGTAAAAGTAATTATTCTACTAATGACTGTTAAGTTTCGTAATTCATAATATGAAATAACAAATGATAAAAATCCAAAATTTTTCAATTAAAAAACTATATTCACTTTATTTACAAATAAATGTCTTTAATACTGTTCGCACATATTGAATTTTTATATGTTTATCAGCTAAAAGCACCCTAACTTTGAACACAGTAAGGAACAACCTCTCAACCCCCTCTCGAGGTACTCGCGTTATGGTGGGTGCCCATCACTCTGTCCCATCCCCATGAATCACACCAGATGTTTCATTACTCACAATTTAGAATCAATAAATGATCGAACTAAACACTGGTCCTTTTTCACTGTGACATCATCATTGCAGCTGGGAGAGATGACCTGGAATACAAATTCAGAATCTACTGACTCCTCTTGCTCAGAGAAGAAAAAAAAATTGTTTGTTTGCTTGCTTGCTAACTAAAAAAATATTTTTCAGAGTTCTAAGTAATTAAACCCAAGGCCTTTTATATGCTGGGGAAGCACTCAACCACTGAGTTATAGCCCTAGCCAAGAATCTGCTTAAGCTTTTTATTATGCCTATGTGTTTGTGTGCAGAGTGGGGAGAGTTCAAGTATGCCATGGCACTCATATAGGTTAAAGGACAACTTGTAAGATGTGGTTCTCTTGAAAATCAGTATGGTGATTTCTCAGAAAATTAGGAATCAGTCTACCTCAAGACCCAGTAATACCGCTCTTGGGCATATACCCAAAGAATACACACTCATACCACAAGGACATTTGCAATAGCCAGAACCTGGAGACAACCTAGATGTCCTGAACTGAAGAATGGGTAAGGAAAATATGGTACATTTGCACAATGGAGTACTATTCAGCAATAAAAAATAATGACGCCTTGAAATTTGCAAGTAAAGCAATGGAACTAGAAAAAAGAATCTGAGTGAGGTAACCCAGACCCAGAAAAACAAATATCATATGTACTCATTCATAAGTGGCTTTTAGACATAAAGCAAAGAATAACCAGCCTACAGTCCACAACCTCAGAGAACCTAGACAGCAAAGACCCTAAGAGAGACATACACGGATCCGCCCAGGATGGAGAAAAAGACAAGATCTCCTTAGTAAATCAGGGGCGTGGGGGGCAGAAAGGAGGGTGGAAGGGGAGAGGGGAGAAAAGAAGGGGAGTGAGGAAAAACGTATAGCTCAATTAAAAACAATAAAGTATATATAAAAAAAGACATGGTTCTCTCTTTCACGTGAATCTTGAAGGGATTCAACTCAGGTTGTCAGAGTTAGTGGCAAGCATCTTTACCTATTGAGCCATCTCACCAGGTCTAAGAATTTTAAGTGCTTTTAAAATAATTTAAGTAATTTTAAAGATAACTTAAGGGGCAAGGGGACTGAAGAGACAGCTCAGCAGCTGAGAGGACCCAGATGACTCAGGTTCTGTTTCAAATGCCCACACATGGCTCTCAATTGTCTGTAACTTGAATTCTGGCCTCCACAGGTGCCAACCACCCTGTGGTACACAGACATACATGCAGGCAAAACACCCCATACACAAAGAAACAGAATTGAAAAATTAAAAGTTAAACAATTCTGGATCTGCTAATGTCTCAAGTGAATTATATTTTACAAGAAATAGCTTAATTGCTAATAGATCTCATTATTAATAAATTACAAAAGTATTTTTATTATTTTTAACATATTGGCTTCCTAGAAACCTAACATAGTCATTAGGTAATATAAAATAAATAATGAAATATAAATTAAAATACTATTGCTTTAAAAATTCTAACCTAAATAAAAATGACTACACTTCTGTACTTGTGTGGGAGGGCACACATGTACCCAGCACTCGTGAGGGTCAGTGCTTGTCATCCTATTTTCCTTCCCCCATATGGGTCCTAGGATCAAGACCAGGCTATAGGCTTGGCACACGCAGCACCTTTACCTGTGGAAGGATCTCGCCAGCCCAAGACTTGACTTTGTATCCAAAACAATAGCATTTATGGATATGTGGGCTGTTCTTTATTTTTCTAAGCTAGGGTTCCTGTAGCACAGGTTGGCCTCCAATTTACCACCTAGCGAGACTGACTGACTGATGTGGGAGTGTCATATATCAATCTGTTGATTTCATTGGTTAAATTATAATAAACCAACTGCTTGGCCTCAGCTTAGAACATAGATGGGAGGAGTAAACAGAATAGAATTCTGGGCGGAAGAGGAAGTGAGGTCAGACTCTGCTCTGCTTCCGGAGAGACCGGACAGCTCTGCTGGAGCAGAGACGCCATGCTCAGCTCTCCCAGGCAGCTGCAACCCACGATGGACTTAGGCTAGAATCTTTCCGGTAAGCGCACCTTGGGGTGCTTACACACATCATTAGAAATGGGCTAGACCAGGTGCGAGAATTAGCCTGTAAGGGCTAGAGTTCATGGGCCAAGCAGTTCTTTAAATGAATACAGTTTGTGTGTTGTTATTTCGGGCATAAGCTAGCCAAGCGGCCGGGGTGTTGGGGACGCAGCCCCGCCGCTCCTTTTTCAACAGATGGCGCCCAGACGTGTGGACAACTGAATCCACAGAAAGCCTGAAAAAGCTTGGGAAAGAGTGAAGCATGTTTTCTTGATAGCAGCAGTTTCTCGGGTCTCCTCTGCTTGTTAGAAGCAAGCAAGCACTCTCATCTAAGAGAGGCTTCCTGACTCAGCTTCAGCTGCAAAACCCTGCAGCTCATTAAGAGGTCCTGCCACGAAACACTTAAACGGTGTTGGTGAAAAGCTGAACGCATGCTTTTCGGTTTTCAGCCGTAGCAGGAAAAAAGCTGTGCTGTTTAAAAATGCCGGCTTTCTGGGCCGTCCTGCCAGGGCAAACTCTGACTGAGGCAGGAGGGCCAACTACCGAGAGAGGACTTGACTGTTGTCTGTTGTAGCTCGCTGGCTGGCAGGGACCTTGAAACGCCATAGAATTGTGGCTATAAACATGGCTACAGCCTGTATCTCCGCCATGAGGCTGGAAAGCTAAGGAATGGACTGGATCTAGCTGGCAAAGCCACGGCTTTAATCCTACTCATATTGCTCAGTAATTTAAAGGCTCGTGTGGTCAGAAAAAGAGAGATATACAGTAAAGAGATTCAAAGACAAAGAAAATGTTTAAATGATTTACAGTGTGTTAAAAATATATGCAAGCTAAAAGTTAAAAGTTCTTAAAAAAAAAAAAGAAAAAGAGAAGTTGTGTGTGGTAGTACACGCCTTTAATCCCAACGCTTGGGAGGCAGAGGGAGATTGACCTCTGTGACTTCAAGGTGTGGTAGCACACGCCTTTAATCCCAGTGCCTAGAAGGCAGAGACAAACAGATCTCTGTGAGTTCAAGGTGTAGTAGCAAACACCTTTAATCCCAATGCCTGGGAGGCAGAGACAGGCGGATCTCTGAGAGTTCAAGGAGAGCCTGGTCTACAGAGTTATTCCAGGTCAAAGAGATACAGAGAATATAAAAGTAAAAATAAACGAAATAGAGGTTAAAATAAAGCGTACAAAGATGGAAAATACACAGAGAATCTTGATACTGTATACTATTATGCTCTCTTTGAATTGTTTGAATGCTGAGGAAGGAGCAACAGCTGCCAAAAGATATTTGTTTATAAATGCTGCTGAACTAATCCATCGTAGAGATTTTGATGCCTTGACTTTGAAATTTGGATCTAAGGACATGATACTTTGGAAAGGAGTTTCTTTTTTTGTTTTCACAGAGGATGAGACCCTGTTCATTTCTTCTATTCCGATATGGTATGATGGACCACGCCCTCCTGAACGGTTGCTGTGAATACCTTCAGAAAATTGCTTCGCTCAACTGCCAACTGAGATGAAACTAGCACACAGGTTATACCATGAAAGACCTAATTAACGACGCCCCCATTCAGCAGGAAGCAGTTTGGAGAGAAAAAACTGCGCCCATGTTCCCAAATATGGTTTATAAATGTTCTTTTACATTTAAAGGGGGATATGATATAGATATGAATAATTTGCATTAGTATAGATTTTGCTTTATTGATAGAGATTTAAGGTCAATTTTGAATGTATATAGGTTGTTAATGAATAATCATTAATAGTAGTTAAGCTTGTAGTTATGTTAGTTAAGATTTTCTAGATGTGCATAGATATATTTTAGATAGGCATTCTTCATATTTTTCAAAGATTATAGAATATGGCATTTTAAATGTTTTAATAACTTAGGACTTTTCATGACAATGAGACACTCTGCTCCTGGCAGCACCAATCTACTTCAAGAGGAAGATGGGCATCGAAGAGGATCCTTATGGAGTTTGATAGCCATTTGGGCAAGAAACTGCTCTTGCCTGGACTATTGCATAAACTGGACACAGAGAACCCGCAGAGAGAGGACTGCTGAACTTGCCTAAAGGTGAGATGATCTTTCGGGGTTCCTGATTCATGAAAGAGTCTGCAAGACATTCTTCAGGACAAGCAGATAGTGACTGCCTTTGAAATTTCCTGCTTTGTGGAAATGTCTGCTGGAAACTATGGGCCTGTAGGCCGAAGATGGATGCCCCAACGGTACAGAGGAACTTTGGGTGACTGTCCAGGCAGCGAGATGTCTCTGTCATTTCTAGAGCTTTGGATGTTAAGTTAAAGCCTTCTTTTTTTTTTTTTTAAACAGAAAAAGGGGAAGTGATGTGGGAGTGTCATATATCAATCTGTTGATTTCATTGGTTAAGTTATAATAAACCAACTGCTTGGCCTCAGCTTGGAACATAGATGGGAGGAGTAAACAGAATAGAATTCTGGGCGGAAGAGGAAGTGAGGTCAGACTCTGCTCTGCTCCCGGAGAGACCCGACAGCTCTGCTGGAGCAGAGACGCCATGCTCAGCTCTCCCAGGCAGCTGCAACCCACGATGGACTTAGGCTAGAATCTTTCCGGTAAGCGCACCTTGGGGTGCTTACACACATCATTAGAAATGGGCTAGACCAGGTGCGAGAATTAGCCTGTAAGGGCTAGAGTTCATGGGCCAAGCAGTTCTTTAAATGAATACAGTTTGTGTGTTGTTATTTCGGGCATGAGCTAGCCAAGCGGCCGGGGTGTTGGGGACGCAGCCCCGCCGCTTCCTAATTCAACAACTGACCCCTATGTCAACCCCATCTTCACTCACGGCACAGACTGCAGGTGTGAGCAGCGCAGCTGGCAGGCATGAATGCAGGAGCTGCAACGGAAATCTGGCATATTCCATCACCTGTGAACTAATGGCCTCCATACTGACTTCTGTCACTTCCAGTCTTTCTAATAATGGAGCAAACAGTCTTGTGAACATTCCCAAATGTGCAGTGCAAATGGCATTCTTTGCCAAAGCTATCGGCAGAATATCTCCTATATTCAGATGACCATTTAAAGACCCTTCTGCCTCAAGGATCAACTATCCTTGCATTCTATTCTCCCCTACTCTTGCGAACAGTCAGTCACAGAGGACTCTCGGTGAAAAACATACCAGCAAGCAGTCTTCCCTCACAAAATGTCCTCAATTGCTCATTTGTCCTCATTCTTCCTGTGTACGCAAGGACTGGCATGTCTAAAAAATCTAAGTGCATCTTTCCTGTCTATTATGTCCTTATTCTAGTTTATGTGCCAGTACTAAAAAAATCACTATAGAACTCCTTTTTTGTTGTTCTTTGGTTTTTTTTGAGACAGGGTTTCTTTGTGTAGTCCTGGCTATCCTAGAACTAGCTCTGTAGAGCAGACGGGCCTTGAAGTCACAGGGATCCACCGGCCTCTGTCTCCCGAGTGCTGGGATTAGAGGTGTGGGGCACCACCGCCAGTCTGACAAGCTCTACGACATGTCAGGTTAGCCTCCACCTCCTAGCTGAAGCAAGCCTCCTGTTTCTGACTGCTGAGATGCTGGGATTGCAGCTGTACAGCACCACATCTGAGTAAAGATGGCTGAGAAGGGAACCGTTGTGAGGTGGTCACTTTTCAATGATTTCTCCTAAAAACTCAGATCTAGATAATTAGCTTGAATGCAGTAAAGAATTAAGGTGCTAGACATGGTGGCTCTCCCCACAATCCTACAGTTTAAGAGACTGCAACAGGAGGACTGATGTGAATTCAAGGCCAGTCGTGCCTACACAGTAAGCTCCTGGCCAGCTTAAACTAGAGTGAGACAAACGAAACTAAAGAATTAAGGGATCAACCTAAAAGCACTGAAGTTGTAAAAAAGTAATGGGACATCGGAGGAAAAAAAACCCTGAAAGACGTCAATACATGATAACAGAGAATGGATAACTAAAGACAATGGCCTGACTTTTAATTTTTAAACACATAATAACATCTTCATTAAATTAGTAATATTTCCAATATATTTCAAAAAAGCTTGACAAATTCATTTTCAACAAGAAATAGAGCTGACTGACTTTGCAATGACACTTCACTTACCAAAGCAGGGTACCACTCCGGCCTCTCTGCTGCAGTGGTCACACGCACCACTTTTCCCAGTAAGCCATCACTGAGACGCCGCTCATCCTCATCCTCCTCTTCACTACTTTCTTCTTCCTTTTCGTCTTCAGTGCTAAGGGCCAGAACAACCTGATTGTTATGACGGCGTAAGCCATGATTAGTCCAATCAGAGTGCTAAGTGTCTGGCCTGGCTGCCAAAGCTGCCTCTCCATTCCTACCGGGCTTGAGAAGATGGACACTCTGGCCTCACGCAAGTAATGGAGCCACCTTAGTAACTCCCGAGTTCACGTTACTGACACAGGACTCAGGATCCTATGCCAGGACAGAGAAGCCTATTACGTCACTAATGCACTTTTTTTTTTTTTTTTTTTAAAAAGACAGGGTGTCTCTGTATATCCATCCCTGGCTGTCCTAGAACTTGCTCTGTAGACCAGGCTGGCCTCGAACTCAGAGATCCACCTGCCTCTGCCTCCTGAGTGCTGGGATTAAAGGTGGGCACCACCAACTCCCTGATTACCAAATGTACCTTGTAAAAACAGTTTTTTTTTCCTGTTTTGTAATGCCAGAGGCTAAAAAATGAAAGTCTGATTTTCTAGTAGGTTATGAAAATAGCCCAGAAAAATCAAATGTGGGATCTAGTCAGATAATTTATCTGGGATAACTGTTTACTCTTAAGTGTCATAACATGCATCAATCTGAAGTCTATACTTTTTAAAGAAAAATGAGTACACATTCTCATTTCAAACCTTGATGAGTGTACACTGACATTTGTCATCCACTACACTACACAGCGCTATTAACTATTAAAGCCCTGGAGGTACTTGCTCTGTTATCTTTTGTATTTTCATTTCTTCTCCCACTGATCCATTGTAGTATGGTGCGGCAGGCTATGTTCCCGCCCGGATCCCACACGGCTAGCTTAGCCCCAGAAATAATAACACACAAATTGTATTCTTTTAAACACTGCCTGGCCCATAAGCTCTAGACTCTTACTGGCTAACTCTCACATCTTGCTTAACCCATTTCTATTAATATGTGTAGCACCACAAGGTCGTGGCTTACCGGGAAGGATTCTAGCCTGCTTCCATCTTGGAGAGTAGAGCTATGGTGACTGACCTCACTGCCTTCTTCCCAGCATTCTGTTCTGTTTACTCCGCCTACCTAATTTTCTGTCCTATTAAAGGGCCAAGGCAGTTTCTTTATTTAAACAATGAAATCAGCACAAATCAGAGGACTCTCCCATATCAATCTGTTGTCTAGGAATCACCACATGCTTCTCTCTACTTTCTGTAGTGACAAATTTTCCTCATTTTTAGTTGATGCCTCAACTTGCTTTTGAGTGTCCTACACTAAAATATCAGCTTACACATTAAAAAATTTTACTGATTAAAAATTATAATTATTAAAGACTACAGTACTATCTGAGGAATAAAAATACCACAAAGCATTAATGATTTGCTAAATCACTATGATACGCTGAGCACTTGCTACAAACTAAAAAATGTATAACACTATATCATTTCTCCCAAACTGACAAGATATTATGAATCTCATTGTCCTCAGCTATAAGATCCTGTAGGATTTGTTTGTGTGTGAGAGGAATAGAACTAATAATGTAAATATAGTTACTGTAATAAAGAGACATAGCTACTAAGTGGCTAAACTGAGATTTTCATTTAGGGGCCTCAAAGGTCTTTTGTTACTTTTTCGTTTGCCGCTTGTATGTTTGACTTTGCCTTTTTAACATCTTTGTTATATATGCATACAACCAATATCTGGATCCTGGTTTCTTCTATCCCATCAAAAGGAACAAAGGTTCCCAGAGAAATGTCCAATATCAAGGTTTGATGCTGGGAAAAAAAGATCATGAACGTTTGACACTGTGTAGTATTAGGAAGTGGCCATGTGGTCAAGAAATGGAGAAATGTATCAAAAGCACACAGACATCAGCCTAGAGAGGGGCCCACTGGCTGAATGTGGAAAACTTGCGCATCAAAATAAAAATTAAAAAAAAATGAATTATAGCCCATTAAGTAAAATTACAATCCATGAATATATACTGATAAGGAAATTTTTCTTTAAAGAATTTTTTACATTTAATCATTCAGTGTGTGTGTGTGTGTGTGTGTATTTATGTGTGTGCGTGCACCATAGCATCTACATGGAGGTCAAAGGACGTCTTGCATGAGTTGATTCTCTTCTTCCATCATATGAAATTCTGGGATCAAACTCAGACGGCCAGGGCTGGTAAGCTGGTAACTGACTATCACCCCTGAGCCACCCTGCTGGGTCCAGGAAAATGATAACTAAATTTAACTAAAAAATGAAGCAGGATTGAAAAATTACAAAATCATCATTTTGTTATTATAACAGTACTGATATGCCAAAGGAGCCCAATGGGTGCTAAAACCACTGATGGAAGGGTATTTTGAGAAGGAACAGCCTATCTACTGGCAAAGTAGCTCCACACAGAGTATTTAATTATCCAGGGAGAAAAGGTAACCAAAGAACTCTAAGGTCAGAAATTAGGCAGGAACCACATTAACTAGGTGATCAAAGGTAATGACACCAACTACAGGACAAACTGATAGTATGTATCAAGGATGTATTTACACGCAGGACACATATCACTTACTGTCAAAAATGTATAATATGTATAATCTTAATCTATAAATAAAAGTACCTGAAAAATCTGCATTGAAGATCAGTCTACAAAACAACTTGCCTGTGCTCTTAAATGGCAGCATCATGAAAACCAAACAAAAATCTAACGAATGTTTCCAGATGAAAGGGAGTTCACAAGCCAAATCAAGGAAATGCAGCTCATGAACACGACCTGGTTTGGACCCTGAAAGGATGCTCGAAAGTCATCCAGGATGACAGATGGACCCTGAAATGCTGACAGCAGAAGGTAAGAATTTCCACCAGGTAAGCTTTGTCAGCCAGTAGTGCAGGCCTGGAGGCTCAGTACTTTAGACCAGGAGGCAAGATAATAAATACTGAGTTTGGCTGTGAGTTAAAACATTTCACATCCGTGAAATTGAATTTTCTGAATATATTAGTATTTTACTTAAAGGCAAAGGATTGTCATGTTCTCTGCTTCCTTTTACATTGCTCAAGAAAATAAAATTCTAAGACTGGCTGGGCAGTGGTGGCACATGCCCTTAAACCCAGCATTTGGGAGCCAGAGGCAGGAGGATCTTTGTGAGTTCAAGGCCAGCCTGGTCTCAAAGTAAGTGCCAGGACAGCCAGGGCCATGAAAATTATAAAACTGAAAACTAATTAAAATATATATATAACAAAGAGATGGAAGGATAAGGCAAAAGGCCAGAACTATTAAAAACTGCATAACTAGACAAAGAACATACAGAAACCCTTTGTTATTATTTTTAAGTTCACAACTGTTTTTACAAAGATAAACTACAAATAATTACTCAGTAAAGGTAAATCATACCAATTAATAACGACGTCAAAGCAAACTAAAATCATCTTTTGGAAATGGAGTTTTGATAACGTCTAGGCAAAGTAAAGGGAGTAACTAAAAACGTCTGCTGAGGGCAAAAGGTCCCCCTTACAACATTCTATCAAAATGATACACCCAGCAGAAGGCAGACATTCTGGGAAAGTCAGCTGGGGAAGATGGGAGCTCCGTCGATTATTAAGCAAATACAAAAAAACTCACATAGGAAGTGACGACCTCCTCCCTCTGTTCGCCTTCTTTGCAATGACTGGTGTTCCAAAGTGCTCTGGATTCGTTAAAGGAAGCTGGTCAAGCGTCTGCAAAAGAGACAAAGGAGTTCAATTCACACCTCAAATCCCCTCAGTCACTGCAGTTCCCACACCAATCCCTACCACCTACCTCACTCTCAGCAAAGTGTCTTTCCCCTTTCAGGCAAAGTGAGGTGCGGCGCAGCGTTCTCTCATCCCCGTCATCAAATACTGCAACAAGCAGAAGATGTCTGAGAATTCATGGGCATCAATGTAGCACAAATAACAAAAACCCAGAGACAAATATTAGGGTTCAACCTGAAGATCAGAAAAGCAAAGCAGCCAAGCCACTAGAGAGCTCTTCTATGAAATCTTCAGACTGAAAGAGAGTCTCTTCCCACCTTATATTCCTCCCTAGTGCTGGGATTGAAGGCGTGCACTACCACGGGCAGGCCTTGGCTGACCAGTGTGGCTGTTTTGCATTCTGGTCTTCAGGTAAGTGTTATTTATTAAGATACAAATAAAATATCACTACACATCAATTTAGTGAGAATAAAAATTTAGATGTAAACAATGACATTACTGCTATTTCAGAGTTTAATACTTATTTCTTAGCTATTTTTCAAAACCTTCCAAAATGAACATACCACGGATGTCATTTTATAGGTGTCAAACAAACACAGGTTAAATGGCTGCCCCTCTAAGCCAACTGCTTAAGTATGTCTGCGCTGTAGAGCCACCCTCTTAACTTGACCCAGTCAAAGCACAAATTGAAGATTGCCTTCAACCCTAGGCTGAATGAAACCAGGTCTCTCTAAAAAAAACAAAGCATTATGTATATTTCTGTAACTTATTATTGATGGAATACCTCTACTGTCCTTAAATGTCTGATTTCTTCTTCTTCTTCTTCTTTTCTTTTTTCTTTGCCAGGTTTCTTGAGACAAGGTCTCTCTACATAGCCCCAGCTGTCCTGAAATTCACTATGTAGACCAGGCTGGCCTCAAACTCTCAGAGATCCTCCTTGCTCTTCCTCTGTGTCTGACTTCTGATAATGGTGATAGATTGTGTTTTTCCTACTTATTTGCCCAATGACTTCATATACTAGAAGCTCTGGCTGCCCTTTCCATAATACATGTTTTTTTCTTTTACTAGAAAAGGACGCAAGTAATTAAAAAGGAAATTAAACCTTTTGTTATTTATTCATTGCGCATTATTGTCTAAAATACAATATACAGGCTTTCCCTCAGCTCAGGGCAGACTGCTTATGCAGTAGGTACAAGACCCTGAGTTTGATCCCCAATGTGTAAGGGGCTATGAGTGAGGGTGATGTATGCAGCATTATCAAGTATAACAAATGAACTCATCTTTGGAAAATTCCAATCCCTGGTGTCATAAACCAAACAATAAAATTCTGCATGTATTTGTGTCAATATACAAGATATTTTAAAGAATAAAATCAAGTCAGATGGTGGCGCACACCTTTAATCCCAGCACTCAGGAGGCAGAGGCAGGCTGATTGATTTCTGTGAATTTGAAGTCAGCTTGATCTCCTTAAGAAGATTCAGGACAACTAGAGTTACACAGTGAAACACGGTCTACACACACACACACACACACACACACACACACACACACACACACACACACACTCCAGTTTTCCTTTACGCCTCTCATGACAACGGGCACACATCTGAATGAAGTAGGAGGAGAAAGAGTAAAGCTACTGCACCAATATGGGAGATGGGGGTTAAGATCACTGGCTGCTCTTATGGTGGACCCAGGGTCAGTTCTCAGTATCCACACAGTGGGTCATAAGCACCTATAACTCCAAGTCCAAGAGATCCACTGCCTCTGCTTACCACAGGCATCAGACATAAGCATGGTGCACATACATGCATGTAAACAAGGCACTCGTATATATTAAATTAATCTAAGAAAAAATTTTAAAGACCAAGTGGCATCGAATTTATATATGAAAATATTCATCACAGTGTTTTATCATTTATCAGTGGAAATTCTAGAATGTTCCAGTGAAAAAACTTCAACAATGTTTTCCATAATTCTTGTTTTATAAATAATTGCTTTGAAATAAAATTGTGCTTTTGAGAAAATGCATTTTGTTTAAATATCCATTATTATGGGTAGAAAATTCTGTTAATTTTTCCTTTCTTTTTCTTTTAGGTTTTTTGAGACAGAGTTTCTTTGTGTTGTTCTAGCTTTTCTGGGATTAGCACTATAGATGAGATTGGCCTCGAACTCACAGAGATCCATCTCTCTCTGCCTCTCCTAGAGCTGGGATTAAAGGCGTTTGCCAGACACCACAACTTTTATGTATTTTATGTGTATAGGTGTTTTGCCTGCATGTATATGTCTGTGCACTGTATTTATGCCTGGTAACTATGGAAACCACCGGACTAGGCTGACAAACAGCTGAGCAGCCATGAGTGCTGGGACTCAAACTTTGGTCCTCTGAAAGAACAGCCAGTGCTCTTAACCACAGAGGCATCTCTCCAGCCCCAAAACAGATTTCTTGGGAGGGGACTGTTTCATCTTACACAAGAACCTTCTAGTAAACAAAGAGAAACAGTTTAAGATTCTAATTCAGCACTTATGAGGTAAAAGCAGGCTGAGCTACGTGAACATGAGATAAGTCTAGTCTATACAGTAAGTTTCAGGGCAGTCAGAGCTACATAAGGAGACCCGGACTTAATTCAAACCATACAAATGTATTTTACTTTACACTCAAGTCCTTTTTACACTTTTAGTGAATTTTGCACTTTTTCTGAAAACCATGGAGAGCACAACACAATGGATTTACTAATCCTGACATCTCCTTCATCAAAACCACGAAAGACACTCCAGCTACCACAGAGACAGGAAAGCCTCGTGTGAGTAATCCCAGCACTTGGGAAGCTGATGTCCAGGCCAGCCTGGGCTACACAGCAACAATGTCTCAAACAATAATAATTAAATAAGATGTTCTCTCTAAGGAACTGTTTTGTAGTTCAGACTTACAAGATAGCATAGCAAGTGAAAACTACAAAGATTTAATCATGTTCTGAAAGAGTTGATACCTGCTAAAAACATCATTTGTATAATTCATTGAGCATTTTATTATTCATTGAACAGCCCCAAATTATTAAATCTGATTACTACATAAATACAGAAGCTTATTTAAAGAAAAATGGCAAAAAGGGGACTCAAGACAATATTAATCATTCTAAATAGACAAAATGATATAAACACAAACAAATACATAAGACCTAGTACCGATCTTCTAGAATTCAAGGAAATAGATAATCAATGGTAATACAATATATTATACTACTAAGTATAGAAGACCCGTCTCCGTGTTATCATAAAACTGATTGATACTGTAAGAAAATAAAATATCTAAAGTCAGTCATCTACCCAAAGATATTAAAATTGACCATCATTTACTAAACTTCAACCACATCTTCATCCACAAAACAGCATCTGGATGCTATGAATCACTATCTTCTACTTATAGGTAAATTTAGAATCAGAAAGTTAAGTAATGAGCCACAATGTAATTAAAAGGCCCAAAGACACAGGAAGAAGAGTAAAATGAACGTGCACAGCCCTAGGTGGCCCATTCCACATGAGGCTATTGCTCCTAAGCTTGTTACAAGGAAGGAAGGAAGAAGTCAAAAATTCAGAAAAGCAAAATTATTGGTATAGATGTATACAGTAGTTAGGAAAGAACAAAATATTTTACAAAATGAAAACTTTAAATATATCTACTTTATGTGAAACCAATTTCCTTTAAATATCATTTACTTTTATTTGCTTAGCTGACAAATCAAACTATAAACATTTATAGTACACATGTTTTAAATACATGTGTACAAGTTAACATGTTAGCACACATATTAGCTCACATTTTTTTGTGGTGAGAACATTTAAAATCCATCTCAGCGCACTGTTATTAACTAGCCAACACCTCTTTGATTTTTTCCCCTCCTCAGCCCGTTTGTTTTACTTGCCCCTTGCCATGTAGCCCACACTTGCCTGACTTAAAAAAATCCCACCCCCACCTTTGCCTTGAATGCCAGGATCACACATCACACCACCCAATTCTGCTTAACTGAAATCTGCATCATTTGACTAACACCCCCAACCCTCAGCCTACCTCAACCCTCCCTGTCCTGGTCCCTTCATTCTGCTTTTTCTGAGTTTGACCTTTCCAGATTCTACATACAAAGGAGATGGTGTAATATTTGATTTTCTGTTGAGTTTATTTCTGTTAGCACGATGTCCCCAGGTTCGTCTACAGTTGCCAAATGGAAGACTTTCCAACCTTACTAAGACTGAGCAGTATTCCATGGCAACAGATCACATCCTACCTAGTCACCCACTGATGGATACCTAGGTTAACTCCATTCCTCCACTGGGAGGATGGGGAGCCACAGTAAACATAGAATACAAAAGGCCTTTGATGCATTGGCTTCATATTTCTTTAGATACGAATACAGAAATGGGATTTCTGGAGGGATAGAAGGTTATTTTGTAGTCAAGTGTTGTCGTTTGCACATGCACATAGTCCCAAGCACTCAGAAGGCTGAGACAGAAGGACTGTGAGTTAGAGCTAGCCTGGGTTACACAGAGAGACTTTGTCTTAAAAAACAAAAGTTCAAGTTTTAGCTTTTTGAGGAAACTCTACACTGTTTTCCACAGGGATTTTTACTAATTATACTCTTCCCAACAGTAAGGAAAGGCTCCCTTTGCTCCACATTCTTACCATATGTCTTGTCTTTGTGGTAACAGCTATTCTAACAAGTATGTGATGATACCTCATGATGGCTCTAATTTCCCTAATGATGAATATGCAGTCATACACCAGCTAGCCATGGGAGCGTATCCTGAGAAAGACGCGGCAGAATGACAGCAGCACTGGGAGATCATCACCATCCGAGGATGCCGCTTGCCACACCTAGGAGTGTGTGTCACTGCCCTCAGGCTACACGCCGAGCACACTACTGTGCTAAAATTGCAGGCCTCAATAACATAATCATAAGTATCTTTAAATTTAAACACACAACAGGAACAGCAAACACACAGTACAAAAGATAAAATGGAGGATTGGAGAGACGGCTTAGTGTCTAAGAGCACTGGCTCCTTTTCCAAAGGATTAGGGTTTAGGTTCCAGTACCTACATGGGTTTACAACCTTAACTCCAATCCCAGGGGATCTGACACCCTCTTCTGACG